AAACACATAAAAATTCAATTAACAATATATGTTACTGGGCATACAGTGTATAAAAATGCGGATTGTGACTTAAGTCACACGGTAGTGTGGAGCTGTATCAGAGCAGAGTTTTGTTTTTTTAAATTTTTTAAAAATTCAGTTTAATTAACGTAGGCTGTATTTTTAGCTTCAGGGGTAGAGTTCAGTGATTCATCAGTTGCATACAGCACCCAGTGCTCATCACTTCACGTGCCTTCCTCGTGCCTGTCACCCAGTTACCCCTCCCCCCACCCACCTCCCCTCCAGCAGCCCTCAGTTTGTTTCCTGCAGTTAAGAATCTCTTATGGTTTGCCTCCCTCTCAGATTTTACTTTTTCCTCCCTTCCCCTGTGTTCTTCTGTTTTGTGTCTTAAATTCCACATAAAAGTGAAATCATGTGGTATTTGTCTTTCTCTGATTGACTTATTTCCCTCAGGATGACACCCTCTAGTTCCATCCGTACCCTCGTAGATGGCAAGAGTTCACTTGGCGTCTGCGTTATATTCCACTCTACATTATAAGCACTTTCTTCATCCATACATGTCGATGGACATCTTGGCTCTATATTTGGGCTGTTGTGGACATTTCTGCTGTAAACAGTGGGGGGCAGGTGCCCCTTCAGATCACTATGCTTGTGTCCTTTGGATGAATACCCAGTAGTGCAGTTACTGGGTCATAGGGCAGTTTTTACCCTTCTGAGGAACCACAGAGCAGAGTGATGCTGTTGAAGTTACTGGTTAAATTCAACTTAGACTGTTACAACTTTAAGGTGTTAGATGTAATCCCCACAGTAAACACAAAGATAATAGCTATTGAATATATACAGACAAGGAAATGAGAAGAGAATTAAAATGTGTCTGTACAAAACAAAATCCACCAAAACACAGTTAAAACACCGAAGAAGGCAGTAATGGAGGACAGGAAGGACCAAAAGCTCTCGAGCACATAGAAGACATGCAGAGTAGCAGAAGTCCCTACTTATCAGTAATTACTTTAAATTTAAATTTATTACAGTCTCCAGTCAAAAGAGATTGAGAGAACAGACTTTTTTAAAAATCTGACATGTGCTCTGTGTGACATTCATTTTAGACCCACAGACACAAGTAGGTTGAACATGAAAGGAGGTGAGCGGTATGTCTGATGGAGAGTTGGGAGTCATGGTCATGAAGATGCCCACTGGACTGCAGAGAAGAGCGGACGAACTCAGAACCTCAACAAAGAGAAAACATGAAAAACAGAGTTGAAGAATACTACAGCTGAAATGAGAACCGCACTAGAGGGAACCAGCCGTAGGTTGGGAGATGCAGGAGAACAGATCAGCGATCTGGAAGACAGGGTGATAGAAAGCACCTAAGCTGCATAGAAAGAAAAAGGAATTTTTTAAAACTGAGGGTTTTAGGGGCACCTCGGTGGCTCGGTGGGTTAAAGCCTCTGTCTTCGGCCTAGGTCATGATCCCGGGGTTCTGGGATCGAGCCCCGTGTCGGGCTGTCTGCTCTGCAGGGAGCCTGCTTCATCTTCTCTCTCTCTCTCTGCCTGCCTTTCTGCCTACTTGTGATCTCTGTCAAATAAAAAGAAAAAAGAAAACAACTGAGGGTTTTAGAGGGAAGGGGGTGGGGGATGGGTGAGCCTGGTGGTGGGTACTAAAGAGGGCACGGACTGCATGGGGCACTGGGTGTGGTGTGTACACAGTGAATCCTGGAACGTGGCGTCAGAAACGAATGCTGTATTGTATGGTGACTCACAGAAAACAACACACAAATAAGGATGGGTTAAGGGATCTCTTGGACAACATCAAGCAAACAGACATTTACATTATAGGAGTCCCAGAAGTAAAGGAGAGTGGGAAAGGGGCAGAAAATAATGTGAAGGAATAACTGAAAACTTCCCTGGGGAAGGAAACAGACGTCCAGGTTCAGGAATCACAAGGTCCCAAACAGGACGCATCTAAGTGAACCTGAACGTCTGCAGGCCCACAGGAGAGTGCAGAGGAAGTAAAGTCAAAGTCAAAGATAAGATACAGAGTTTTAAAAGCAGCAGGAGAAGCCCCTAGTTGCACACTAGGGAAACCCTGTAAGACTGTCAGCTGATTTTTTAGCAGAAACTTTGCAGAAAAGGAGCGGCATGATCTGTTCAAAGTGCTGCAAGGAAAACTGCAGCCAAACATACCGTATCCAGCAGAACAGAAGAGAGTTTCCCAGACGGGAGTTAAAGGAGTCCGTCACCACGAAACTGGCCTTTCAAGAAATACTGAAGGGACTTCTTTGGAAGAGAGAGAGCCCTAATGAGAAGTGAGAAGATTAGGAAAGGAAAGGGGCTCAGGAAGAGATGTGAAACGTGACGGCACGCACAGAAGGCGTGAAGGAGTTAAAAACGTTCTTTCAGAATGTGCTTGACCTCACGTCACTGCCAACGTGACACAGACGACTATGAACTGTGGATGCTGTGTGTGAGCTTGTGACACAAACCAAAAAGGTACAATAGATACACAAGAAATAAAGATAAAAACAAGAGTAACAGTAAAAGTCATCAGTCATGAGGAGAGAGCAAGAGACAGACCAGGGAACACCTACAAAGACGACCTGAGAACAACAATGGCAAGGAGTCCACACACAAAATGTAAATGGTCCAAGTACTCCCATTAAAAGACACAGTGATGGAATGAATGAAATGGGTAAAAACGAGACCCATCTGTATGCTGCCTACAGGAGGCTCACTTCCGATCTAAAGACACTCGCTGACTGAAAGTGGAGAGATGGGTAAAGATTTTCCATGAGTATTGAAGTGGAAAAAAAAGGTTGGGGTAGCAATTCTTGGAAAAAATGGACTTTAAAATAACTGTAACAAGAAACGAAGGACATTACGTAATGATAAAGGGATCAACCAGCGAGAGGGTACGACGAGTGTAGATGTGTGTATCGCCAGCATGGGCACGTCTAGACACACAAAGCAGATACTAACACATGAGGAGAGAAGTTGACAGTAATTCAAGCATGTAGGGGCCTTAACACTCCACTTACCTCGTGGATAGATCATCCAGGCAAAAAAACAGTAAGGAAACATTTCTTTGAATGAATGATACATTAGACCAGATGGACTTAACAGATAAATACAGAACATTTCATCCCCAAACAGCAAAATACACATTCTTTGCAGTGCACATGGAACATTCTCCAGGATAGATCTCATTAGGCTATAAAACAAGTCTCAATAAATTTAAAAAGATAAAAAATTTTAATTTAATTTAAAAGATTAAAAGTCATGTCAAGCATCCTTTCCCCCCACAGTGGTATGAAAGTAGCTCTCACAGGATATCAATTACAGGAAGAAAAACACAAACGCACGGAGGTTAAACAACCGGAGGGTCAGAGAGTCCCCGCCCAGAGGGCAGTGGGGAGCGCCACCCAAGCCCGCCCACCCCAGCAGCCTTCCCACCTACACGGCACCCGGCCCCCTGGCTGATGCCAACAGGAAGCTGCTGCTTATCTCTCAGACCTGGAACTTTCCTCCAGTGATTTCTTCTCTGATGTCCTCCTCCCTTTCTCTCTGCTGTCCTTTGTCTCGGAGGTTAGGCACCGTGTTCCAGCTCTGTAATCGTCCTGTATTTTCCCTCCTAGTATCTTTTCATGGGCGATCTCATCAACTTCGTCTCCCATTCTTTCTGGTCTTTAATTTTGCTGTTTCTAAATTCTGGAATTCTGATTCTTTGTTTGATGCAGACTCTTCATTGCTTTGTAATTGGAGTATTTCTTTTGCATCCAAGGAAATTAATGACAGCAGTAGTTCTATTTCGTTTTTTTCTTTTTCCTTCACAGACTCTTCTTCCAGGTTTCTCTGTGTTTGCTTTGGCCCTTGTTTTTGTTTTAGATTTCTTTTTCTCACACGGCTGGTAATTCTTGAGGCACATTGTGTTGAAGAGTCAGGTACTAAAAAGGCCACTGGAAGCCTGTGCCCCAGGTGGGACTTCCAGCCACAGGACCCTTATTCTTGGGGATCCCTGCTTTTAGACTCCTGATCCGAGGACGAGTCTGCCACCCTTCCTGGAGACACCAAGGGAATGACATGGTTAAGAAACTCCAGGGAACCCCTGAGCAGCCACTTGAAACTGGGGTGAGGGCAGCCGTGCGTAAGGGCCGTGGGATGATCTTCAGGGCTCTGACTTGCGTCAGGCTCGGATTTTAGTGCCATTAACTTGGGTAGGAAATGCGAGGGGAGGAGAGCTTTGGGGTACACTGTGATTGTGGTGCCAGTGCTGCCTGTGGGTTGGCTTCCGGCTCTGTGGCCTGCTGTGTGTATGGCCTTGGACAGCAAACCTAAGGGATGATGTCACCCCCACCCCCATGTCAGTGAGAGGGAGCGTGTCCTCCCATGTGGCCACCACGCAGACCCTCGGTGACCACATGCTCAGTGGCTTCTGCAGCGCTGGGCACTTGTCAGAGGCGTCGGGGCAGGAGCTGGCAGGGCTGGAGTCTGTCAGCACAGACCCTGGGCCCCAGTATCTACCACCATCTATGCAGGGGCCACTCGAGGGGTCCGGAGAGGCCGGTGAGCTGGTGCCCTGCGTCCTGGGGAGGGGCATTCAGAGGGAGGGCAGTGGGCAACTTCCAGAGTCGCCCCGTGGGAATGATCCCCAGAATATGGAGGATGCCGGCCTCGGGGCCACACGAGTCAGCACATGGGACGCATGCAGTGCGGTGTCAGGACAGGTATTCGTGGCTGCCACCGTGAGCTGGGAAGTCACAGTGGTGGTCAGTGTGCTTCCTTCAGTGAGGGCGCGTCCTCAGCTCATTCTGGAATCCGGCTGCACATGCGTGGAACGTCGTCTCCTCTCCCAGACTCACAAGTAAGGTGTGTACAGGCCCCACACGCCAGCCACCCCGGCCAGGCCTGCCCTCCGCAGGACGCGGGGACCTGGCCCTTCTCCCCATGGGCCGGCTGCCAGCCTGTGCCTGGCAGGGAGGCTCACATGGGCCCTTGTGTTGCAGGTGGCCCAACTGAGGCGCGCTGGAGCAGGACCAACCCTCGCGGTCGAAGAGCGTGTTGTTTCAAAGCGTGGACGTTCCTCACAAGGCCTCTTGTGTTCTGATGCTCCTCTGTGCTGTGAGCTTGCTGCTAGAACAAGGAAAGAAGACCCGCTTCTTTGCCCCGTGCTGCGTTTGGACCCGGCGTTGCAGCTCTGCAGCTGGAAGAGCCGCAGGCAGCTGACCGCGTGCAGCTGGGTTTCCTGCAGGCTCGGCGCTGGCGTCTTCATGCCAGGCTTCTGCCGAGTTCAGCAGTTGCCCAGCCTAAGTCTGCATACGCCCTTGAAAAATACGTGGTCCCTGTGCCCGTCGCTGCTGTTGCTCCAGAGCGACTTACATTCCTGCACGTGTGTGTCCGCATCCTCCTGCTCTGAGCTCTCCTAATGCAGCCTGCCTTCCACGATGTCATGTCAATAAAGTGAAACTTGGTGATGAACAAGGGGTGGTGTTCCGAGTCCCCCGCAGCTCCCGGGCGGCCGGTCGGCCCTGTGCTCGGGAGGAGCAGGTCCGTACGGGGCGGGCCGGTCGCAGTCCTCTTCTCGGGAGCTGCTCCGCCCACGGCCACAGGAGGGACAGATGCTGGGTGAAGGGCGGTGGGCGGAGGCTCTCCCCATCGCTGTCACCCTTGGTGCCCGTGACTGGAGCCCTGAGCACACACCCCTTCCTTGAGCTTGTAGGACATCTGCTGTGGCTGAGCCCCGGGGGGTGTCTGGTGTGCTCCCCCGGCACGCCACGGGCTGCCTATCGGGCGTCTTCTAAGAGGGACTCGATTTCCACAGGGACATGGCCCTAGCCATGAATTTTTGCAGCCAGAATGATTGTGTATTACATAGTTGAAAAGAGAGGAAAGCGTGTTGGCCAGTAGCTGTGGTGAGAGCTCAGGTGTGTGGATTTAAGAAGTCCTGAGCTCGTGCAGTTTGCAAGGCTCAGCGCCCAAAGGGCTGGCCACGTTCACGTTCTTCCCCATCCTTCATACTTTCTGTTTAGTCTCAAGCTCTTGGGGCACCTGCACAACTTAGGAAGAAAAGTAAGTCAGTAGCATCAGCATTTCCTGACTGTCACAAAACAAAACAGGGAAAAAACGCCTATGTTGTGTGTGTGTGGTGAGCTCTGCGTGTGCGGTGTCGGAGCCCAGCTGTGGGCACACGCGTGTCGTTCGTGTTCACTCACGCATGGTCTCAGCAGGAGCTGGGCTTGCTGGCTGCTGGAGGAGGGGGCTCGCCGCCGACCTGCACCCCGTCCTCAGGAAGCTGCAGCTCTGGTGGGGAGGGGGACCCCGGCCTATTCCCCTCTGGGAAGCCAGGGGCCTTGGTGTTCGTCGTCTCCTCTTACTTGATGCCAAGTGGGTCACCCTGGGGCACCATCTGAGTCCACGCCGTCGGCCTCCCTGCTCCGTCGCGAGCGGGACGTGGGCCTTCTCCTTGTTGGCTGCTGGAGAGCCTTCAGGAAGAGCTTTAGCATCTCAGACTTGACCCTGAAATGTGGCTGAGCAGTAATGAAACCAGCCGACAGCTGGCAGACTTTGCAGTTCTTTTCCCTCATTTTTTATTAACATACAACGTACTGTCTGCCCCAGGGGTGCAGGTCTGTGACTCGTCAGGCTTAGCCCGTCCCCCCCCCCCCCCGTTACCCAGTTACCCCAGCTCTCCCACCCCCATCTCATCTTTTTTTTCTTTTAAGATTTTATCTATTTAGTGAGTGAGAGAGAGAGCTAGAAAGCCCCTGCCCAAGGGCGCTAGAGGAGAGGTGGGGAGGAGAGCAAACAGATTCGCCACTGAGTGCAGAGCCTTTGTGGGGCTCGACCTCAACACCCTGAGATCGTGACCTGAGCTGAAACCAAGAGTCACTCAACTGACTGAGCCCCCAGGGGCCCCTCTTTTCCCTCATCCTGAGCCAAGTTCAGAAGAAGGTCTTTCGTCATCCAAATCCCCTTAAGTCTCTGGTGATGCCTGAGGCCTGGTAGCCTGTGTCCCTGTCCCCCAGTGGCCGTCCCCTCTCATGGCCACTGGTCTGGGCAGCGTGTGGACACAACACAGCTCTCATTTGTGAGCTCTGTGTGGTTCTGGAAACCACTGCGGGACTGTGACTTCTCTCATGATGGCAGCTTCATTAGATGTTATAAGGAAACTAAAAAGTTAATTCTACCCTTCGGTATCTGGCCGGCCGTCTGAACTGGAAGAGGTGAGAAACAGCCGTTCAGCACAGACGGATGGACCTGGAGAGGCTGAGATCGGACACCCTGTGGGACACCCGATGCGTCCTGGGGTGCCTGTGACTAGGCCTGGCCGGGGCTGGCGTGTCTCCAGCGACCCCTCAGCCAGGAGACCGAAACCGAGGGCACGCGTGACCCGGCCCCTGGGACCTGCAGCGCCACGCCGCTACAACATCACACTAAAGCACATATATTCGTGTTCCCTTCATCCTCAAACGGAGTGTCCCCCCTGGACACTCAGATTTTAGTAGTTTTTGATGAAACCGAACGGAGTAACCCAGGAACGACCGTCTCTGGGAAGATCGGAGCGACTGGGGCTTTTCTCACCGGCTGCTGTGCGCTTTGTCTTCTCGTCCCACCTTGCGTGAGACGGACTGTGCACCGCGGGCAGCGCCGCCCGAGCTCGGCTCCAGAAGCTCATTTCGCCTCTCGGGGTCTCAGCCTCCCGTTCGCCTCCGATCTGTAAGGCCCCGTGAAGTGGTCTGAGACACGCGCTCCCTGGTCGTGGTCCCTATAGCTTTAAAATACAGGAAAAGCATATAATCCCATTAAGTTAGGCCGCCTGTCTGTTGATTGAACCGAATGCTTCAAGCCACAGCCCTGAGCAGTGCGATCCGAAGTGAGACGGAAGCCTGTCCCCTGCGAGGGGTGGGAGGGTCGGAGCCATGGAAGTCAGCCTGGCACCTTTTCCAGCTGATTCCACCCTCGCGGCCCAGACAGTGGAGCAGGGGACAAGCCACTGCGCTTGGGGACACCTGAGGCCATGAGGAAGGGGGAAGCTGTCCCGAGGAGACCCAAGTTGCAGGACCCGAGGGGCATCTGGAAGGAGCGGGGCCCCTTTGGGCTACAGAGTTCGAAACGTTCTGAAAGCGTTTCCCGGAGAGTCAGACTCTTGTGTTGTCCTCAGAACCCTTCCCCGTTGCTCTGTTTTTGCACATTTCCTTCTCCCAGTTTGACCTTCCCAAGGCCGGAAGCTGGCTTGAGACAGCTGACCGCAGCTCTGTGGGGCAGCCGCTGTTCCCCGCAGAGCGCTAGGGGCACAGCACAGCCCGCGGGCCGGCGGATGCGAACTCGAGCCTGAGGGCACGGTGTCACGGTAGTGACCTCCTGGACGTGCTTGGCTCGTGAATGGTTCCCCTACACAAAGGGGCAGTGGTCATTGTGCCACAGCCCTCCCCAGCCGTGTGTCAGGACAGAAATTAGGTAGTCGTGGAAACCGTGGCTTCTTACACAAAAGCCACGTCACCCTTTGAGAAGCAGTCCGTGCCTTCTGGGCTTAGACCGCTTCACACTTAACAATTATTGAGGATTCCTTTCTACTGTGTTGAAAATTTCAAGTGAGGGAAATTTTTATTTAAAAATAACAGTATACCAAACGGGCGTTGACATTTTTGGTTCAAACCTGTATCCACCTGCAGAAATCGGAAGAGGAGCTTGTGTTACTTCTGCGAATGTGTTTAATGTCTGGTTTTATTAGGGACAACCAGGCCCTCACGCCCGCCTCTGCGCTCGCCTGCGGCTGTGCCTCGTCTTGGCCGAAGGCCCGAGGAAAGCCCCTCCTCGCAGTCCTCCAGGGGAAGGGGACGGGGGCCCTCCAGGAGAGGTGTGGACGCCGCGTTGGCACCTCACAGCCAGGCACGGGGCAGGGTCTGAAAACGTGGCGAACACGGGCCTCTCCCCGTTCCTGGGTTTCCTTCCCTTGGTCTGTCTTGTGCCTTGGCTGGGTTTCTCCCTCGCGCAGTTGTCGCGCACGCTTCGGCCCCTTGGCCGGCCCTGCTTGTCTGGTTGAGCCGTGCGGGCCGCTCCCCGCGGGCGAGCGGCGATGAGCCCCGTGACTGCGGTGCAGGGGCGTTCCGGGAGCTCTGCGCGTGCTCCAGCCGGCTCCGAGCCCGCAGGGACCGAAAGCGGCGAGTCGGTCTGCAGACCCTGCCGCGCTAGGGCCTCGCCTCCGAGCGGGCAAGAGCGCGCTGGCACCTTCGTGCGCTGAGGTTGTGGCGGGCGGTGAGGGGTGCAGATGCCTGATCCCAGGAACAGCCTTGGGAACCAGGGGAAGGGGGAGTGGATGGAGGCACCCAGGAGCCTCAGGACGACGTGGGGGAGGCTGGGGAGCCCTCATTTGCCAATAGTCGCTTTGAGGGCAGCATTCTGGATGTGGCGTTCGCCTGAGGGACAGCTGTGGCCAGGTCCGAGGTGGCTTTACCCAGTCCAGCCACCCAGTATGCGCTGGAGTTGGGCAGCTGGGACACACACGCTCACCCCAGCTGTGGGACAGGATGTGTTCAGCCGAGACAGTGAGCAGAGAAAGGGTGGCCTGTGCTGTCACCTGGCAGGGGCCATGGGGAGGGACAGGGAAGAGTGGATGCAGGACCCTGATGCCCACAGGGCCTGGGCTGGACTGTGCGCTCCTGGAGCTTGGGGGAGGCCGTCCTGGAGGAGCAGGGTTGAAAGAGGCTGGCGGTCGCCAGGGGGGTCCTCTCGGTTCCCGAGCTCGCTCAGAAACTGGGCACATGTCTGCGACTGTGTCCAGGTGCTGGGAGAACGGGGTCTCTCTCTCTCTCTCTCTTTTTTTTTTTTTTTTTTTACGATTTTATTTATTTATTTGAGGGAGAATGAGTGAGAGAGAGCATGAGAGAGGAGAAGGTCAGAGGGAGAAGCAGACTCCCCAAGGAGCTGGGAGCCCGATGCGGGACTTGATCCTGGAAGTCCGGGATCATGACCTGAGCTGAAGGCAGCTGCTCAACCAACTGAGCCACCCAGGCGCCCAGAACGGGGTCTCTTGAAGGCATTTGCTTTTGCCAGGCTGTGGTGTGTGCTCAGCCACGTAGGGTCCACGCAGAAGGGCTTTTGCTAAATGGTCACAGACCCTGTCCACTGAGAACATGGTTTCTGGAGTTGTCACACCGACTGGTGCTTTGGATTTGAGTCTCCGAGGTGTCCAGGAGGCTTTTGGTTCTCTCTGGGCATCTCCCCTCTGTGCAGACAGCCTCTGCCAGGTGAGGGCTGCTCCTGCAGGACAGGGTCAGAGCAGCCCGGAACCCCCCAGGTGACGAGAGGACGGAAGGCACCAGAACTGAGAGCAGGGAGCAGGGAGAGCAAATGTCAAGTAGCAACAGGGGGGACGTCTTGGTTGTAAAAGTACTAGAAGTGAAAAAGAAAATGAAGTTTAACTTCCTCTGAAAAGGCAGTCATCCCATGATGTTTCCTTTACTCTCTTTTTTTCT